GTTAGTTTAAGACCATTCACAATCTCTCCATCTCTGTGTAGCTCTCGCTCTCTCTTCTATCTCTTTTTATTTTACTTCTTTCCATAAGTCTGTGTCTGCCCTCACAGTACTGTCAGGGCTCCTGATCTAAGGAATCTGAGTTACTCCTCTCATTCTTAGAACCAAAGAGATTGCCTATATCATCCATATACTACTACTACTACTAATATTTTTCAACAGTGTTCATTTCGCATTACCTCAAAGGGGTCGAAGTCGTTCTTGAGGCCGGTGTGGAAGTAGATGCCACTATCGTAGTAATAGAAGTCGTTATACACCTCGAAGGAGACTGAGATTGGCCCCGAAGTAACGAGGGTGTCTAACATAGCCTCTTCGTTACACGCACCATAGTAGCCACCCACGTGTACATAATTACTGACGTAGGTGCGGGAACAGGACTCGTCCGTATGGCACTGGCTATCCTGAGGTGGTAGTAGTAAGAATGGTTCTTGTTTTGCTTCAGCACTTTACAGGTTTTTTGATGCAGGTGGAGGGGTACTGATTCAAGGAATTATAGATTCTGTCATATTTCTTGGATTAGACTTAATTGTCCCATTCCCCAGGCGCTTTGTAACACTTAGTGATCTGGCGTTTAATACTAATAATAATCAGGTTTAAAACTCGCAGACTATGCAATGGTTAATAAGAGTGCATATCACCTGTACACCACCAGTCAAGAATACGGTAGTCCCTAAGATAGGCATTAATCTGTGTATATACATTGAGACTACATCTTTTGGTATGTATACAACAACTGATATACACCTCTTATGTGTAGTTGGTTGATTAACTGGGCTAAATTCATATAAATTACTCAGAAGGGTTATTAAGGCTGCATGTCACCTATTCACAACCAGCCAAGAATATTTTAATCCCTAAAATAGGGTTCTTAAGTAAGTCCCTCAGTGTATATACACTTAAAGACATACACCTCTCGGCGTGTATTTCTTCTGGCGTCATGATGACTAGGTTACCGTGGTAAGGTTTAAAAAACAAAAAAAGAGGGTTGATAATACACATCTTATCTACTTTCACGGTCTTCCAAGACTTAATAATTCTAAAATATTTCTTCATTTAATAATCAATAATCGAGGTTCATTTGCGTTGATGGCTAAATGGTTAAATAATGTCTTGTTCCTATTCCACGTTAATATCTGAAAAATTGAGACACTTATGCAACATATGGGAATCCTTACTGAAGAAACGTTTCGCCACACAGTGACTTCATCAGTCCTATACAAAGCAGGAAGGTATAAGGAGAGATGGAGTTTGAGGTAATCAGTCCCTTAGCCTGGAGTCGATGTGTTCAGTCCATCACATTAATATCTGAACTCATATTTCACATCCTACATTTCATATGGAAAATTAATAGCTTGATCTTACAATAAAGTTGATTATCTTTTTACTAAAATAACTCTGATATAATATTGCAATTTTTAGAAAATATGCTGGTGGATCATTAAGACTAATTAGCCTATAAAAAATAGTTTTTATAAGTCTGTACAAACACTTCAGTTTTAAAAAGTTCGTAGTTTACTGAGTCAGTTCAATCAGCCTATAAACTCGGGCATTTATGCTCAGTTTAAATGGTTCGTATTTATGACTGGTGAGAAATAATATTTGTAAACTTACGATTGCTACTGAGTCTTTGAGTAGAAACATTGGGCGTGTTTCTTTCCACCTGTTGTCTATGTTCCCCATCAGTAAAATGGGTACCTGGGTGTTAGTCGACTGGTGTGGGTCGCATCCTGGGACACTGACCTAATTTGCCCGACATGCGGAGCATAACAAGGAGCTTTCTATATAGTAGTATACCATTGTTGTCAGCTAGGCCTGTATACCATGTACATGTACTTGAAGCAAATAAAGATATTATTATTATTAACGTAAAATCTTAGTGCTGTATTGCTTGCGCCGAAATAATTCAATGTAGCCTAGTGGGTGGCTTTTATGCTTATGGCAAGGGTTTATAATAGATAATTTAGTGCTTAAGAAAAGATACTTACTGAACCGGTGTACGTATTACACTCCTCAGCCACGACCCCCTGGTCCTGTGCGTAACGACCAGCGATCAGGTAGTCGAAACCACCATCACATCCTTGTGCCAGATAGGAACATGACACCACATCCTGTCACATCATAAAAAAAAAAAACTGGTGACACCTTAAAATACAATATTACCAGGGTGAACAGTAGTAACATTCCAAGCACTTTCATGATCTCTCACTATTCCTTAATAACTAGGGAACTGGATCTGTGCTCCAGTTCTCTGAATTAACCCCGAATACCTTCCATCCGCCCCCACAGGCGCTGTATAATCCTACGGGTTTAGTGCTTCCCCCTTGATTATAATAATAATAATAATATTCCTTAATAATGTGAGAGATCACGAAAGCCCTTAGACTATTATTTCTTTTCAGTGGTTTATATTATATTATATATATATACGAAAGAGTAGTATTTAATCAATAACAACACTGCGACTAACCTGAGGGGAGAAGATGTCTTGGCGTTGGTTGTGGGTTACGATCCTCAGCTGGGCCTCTAGGTTAGCCATGGAGGCGAAGGCATAACAGGAGCCACAATTGGCCTGGTCTCTCACTGGAGACACATAGTTCACACCCTCCACGTTCCGCCAGTCAAAGTGCTCCGGCAGGAGAGCAACGCGAGCTTTTTGCTCAGGGGTAGTTGGAGCAGGACGAGGTCTGGTGACTGCTGCCTTGGGGCCACCAGCCCTCCGGTTCATTTCAGCAACAGTGTATCTGTTGAATAAGGTACATATAATACCTAGATATCTTTACTGATGGGTACTTAGGCACCCCGTGGCTTTTTCAATCCAATATATAGAATAAATACTTTAGATGGTGGAAGAAGTGGTAATTTTCTAGGTGTGCTATTCCTACGTTTTACTAAGGACTCCAATGGAAATAAGCCACTCTGTCTGACTTGTGGGTTATCCTAGGTTCCTACACATGTGCTACTATGTATGATATTCTTTGTAATTGTGGATTCCTGAATAAACTTACTTAACCTGAAAAATCTGAAGCAGAAGCATGAAGATGGAGACTTTTATATTCGTGCCATTATGTGTCGAGAAATACTATAAAAAAAGTTGCCAGAAGACAATGCATATATTTAGAGCAGTGTTGTGAAAAACAGCAAAAACACCTGAACATTGCGTCGTGAACCGCACTGAAAGAACCAAAGAGCCGCATGCGGATCGCGAATAGAAAATCGTTGCTTTGCAGCGTCACATATAATTTAATTCAAAGTGTCAACGAAACAAACCACTAACTTTTCAAACTGTGGGTAAGCTTTAGCTGTCCAGGAGCTCTGAGCAGCGTTGATGTTATTTATCAGGGAGTGGTTGTTTCTCCAGGGGTGATCCATGTCTCTCTGCATAATCCTCTCACTCACCCGAGGCTCAACCTGTGAGGTTACAACCAGATATACCAAACATTTTAGTGTTGAGAAATTTCTCACCCAAGGAATGAACAAGGTCCTAAGACCTAAAAGTGTCCATAATTTTGGCTATGTCTTTTTTCCACAACCTGTAACATAAGATGAAATACCTTATATTGAAGTGAGTGCACCAACCGTGTGTTGATAGTTACACAGAGTGAACAAAAGCTTGCTAAATTTCCCGTCATACTTCCTGAGGTAAGATGGGTTTCTTTAATCAAAGGATGAAATGTATCAGCCTGAGCTGGGAGACTTCAGTAAGGTAATGATGATATCGTCAAGCTAAGGTTCAGTAGTTATTGTATACCGTTAGGCCACAGGGGCTGTTTTATACTTGCAAAACAAAGTTACTTTCTTTAAACAGTGTTTCACGTGGAGAACAAGTATGGGGACCAAATTTGAAGAACAAACTCTTCCACGTCTGTGAGAATAAGTCATACACAATTTATTAAGACATTTTTCATAATCTTCTGGTAGTACTCTAGCTCTCCTTATACAAATTTTCAGGTCTGTAGAGAGTACATGGAGAATTCGGGCATATATATTTTCCGTATAGGTATTACTACGTAACCAGTGAAATAATTAGACAGTTCGATTTCTAACGAATCTACATAAGTCATTTTCTGAATGATCCCATTCCCATACAAAATTAGTAGCAGTCACTTGTAGGCTAGGATGTGTTAATTTAATGTAAATAATCCCGTATTTAGAGTTGATATAACTACACGTTGTCTTTTATATTGCTTTGTAGTAACTATGCTTTAAAATAACATTTGTTTAGTTAGTTAATTTAGTTAATAGGTTGTAAGGAGTCTAGTTTGAAAAAAACTAGACTATTCTAAACGAACTACTATTGTGAAGCAGTTGAAAATGTTATTATCAGTTCTGATTCTGCATTTACATATAGGTAACGACCAATACTTCATCTACATATACGAGAGAGCATTGTCGGGGAGCAGGACACTGCAGAAGCACACGCTAATTAAGTTAGGTTAGGTAAGGTTCGTCAGGAAACAGGATAAGTGCTTCCTGACGCGGGTCTTAGTCATGTGATGATCCACAGCTGGAGCTTTTGGTCATCTGATAGAGGCTTTCCACTGGCTTACTGGTTCACACCGATAAAAATTATGGTTATAATTTTATCCATTGGAATGTGAAAACACACGCTGGTTATTACTGTACCTTGGTGTTCTTGTTAGCGGTAAAGCACGACCAATTCCTCACTGTGGTGTCCCTGGACCAGCCGTTGAAGGTGCGGTCACAGTAGGATGTCACGGAGGAAAAGTCTCCCTCGTAATAAGAGAAGGCGAAGTAGGACCTCTCATTTATGTTCACCTGGTCGTAGAAGAGCATAATGTTATTCCGGTTTCATTATAATGATAGTATACAGTACTGGCAAGGAGATGAGTAAGATACATTTGCAACAGTTAGGTATCTCTCTGAATCGCCTGTATACGACTGAAGAAGTCTACTTGATAGTCTAAACTTTCTAGAAATGTAAGATACCTAACTTGTATATGTGTCTTATTATTTCAATTACAATAAGATTCACAAGAAACAAGTAGTATGTTAATATGCAATGTAGCCACAAGCAGATTCGCGATCTCTCAATCACAAAAGCTCTTAGAATTTTATTGCCATTCACTGAGGGAATATTGTATTGTTATATTTATGGGGAGTGTTAAACCCGTGTGGGTCATTCAGCAGTGGAACCAAAATATATGGAACTACCAGTAAGGTAGAGTAAATAATGCAGTACTCACTTCGAAGCCCTGATTGTAGATTAATGTCCATGTTCCCTTGTTACCCAATTCATCAGTAACAGTGTTGGGAAAACTGAAGGTGAAATTCTTGGTGTGGACGATGGACCCCAATGTGTCACAGTTGATGGTGTGGTCACCAGTTCGTTCCGTCTCGGAGAAACTCCACGAACCTCGAATATCTTCGTAGAGGCAGTGGGCGGGAGTGTCTGCCGCGGCCAGGGCAGCCACCGTCAGGAGAAGTATCGCCGCCAACATCTACAAGATAAAGCCGAATACGACTTAACAAGACTAACACATAAATTGCGGATTTATGAAAGGCGTTAACGGGGGAAAAGCAGCTGAAGTTCCCAAATTCCACCAATCCCCATAATAACAATAATAATAATAGCAATAATAATAATCATAATCTGTCACAACTGAGTCATTCCAATATAAAATATCCCAAGTTGGATGAATATAGTAGTCAATTGACCCAGAGATTTACGCACTGGCCTGGAGATTTACGACTCGCTCCCTATAGGTTTGAACACCACCCGTTCCGTGTTTCTTTTATGTCCCAAGTGTTCCATACTCGGGTTCAGTCCACTGAAAAACCTCAAAATCTTCTGACAAACCATTGATAAGAAGCCACCAGGGAAGTCAACCACCTACCTTCACTCTCACACACACACTGAACTCAGGGTCACATACTGTAGTTAGGGACACACACCAAACTCAGGGTCACTCAGTAAATTCAGGGACACCTTCTGACACACCGAGTTTCTGTCCCACACTTAAGTGGACGGGGGATCCAGCCTTCAATGCTGAATGACACACTCACACGGGTTTACCGTATTATTGATAATACTGTCCACTCTGAAATAATGGTGGGGGGGGTCTTGATGCTGATGAAGGGCTCTTGAGCCAAGGAATTGGAGATACTTTTCCCTTGTATTAAACCGTATTCTTCATTCCTCATAATAATAATGTAATACTAATATGATAATTAATATTATAACTAAGCGCGAAACCCAGAGGGGTCTAATAATAATAATAATAATAATAATAATAATAATAAATAATAATAATAATAATAATAATTGTGGAAAAGACTGTGTGTATTTTCCGGAAATACGGTAATTTATAGGTAAATAGATGCCCTATATTGTATTTTTAGAAGAAGTATGTTATCGAAAATGGGAAACCGGCGGCTGGGGAGGTTAGTCGCCATTTTGTTTGAATTTGGATTAGAAACGTTGGTGTAATGGGAAGAATTTTTCGTGCTCTAGAGGTTAAAATTGGGCTGACACCTCTCAAATAGGAGGCGAAATTGTTGGATGTACATTCCTGCATAACTTGAGATATCAGGCGACTGGACAAGACAGCTCCAGGAACCTCAGATAAGTCTTATGTAGTAACCTGGCCAGTGTTATTTTCATAGATAGACAGTGAGGTTTTCTGAGTATGATACACATTAATCTCCAGTCAAATTGGTGAGTGTTATGATTAAGATATATTCTCCTTCTGTTATATAAATGTGTGTGTATATATATATATATATATATATATATATATATATAATATATATATATATATTATATATATATATATATATATATATAATCATTTATTATTTTTAATATACAGTCCACAAATTTATATATTTACCAGCATTCATGGTGATGTATTTTTCATTTGTAATTAATAGGTCCAGAGCAAATTGTGGGGACATTTTTTGCGACCTAGGCGTCCCAAATTCCTACTTGTCTAACTGATAAATAATAGTTATCATTATTCATTTACTGTTATGTATATAATTATACATTCAGATAAATGCAATTTTCCACAATAATAATAATAATAATAATAATAATAATAATAATAATAATAATAATAATAATATAAATAGTACAGATCCTTCATTACAGTAATAACATGATAATTACCATAATTACCATACTACACACAAATAAATCTCACAATTACTAGGACGCGATATATAGAATTTAGTTACGTGGTCATCGTTGCTCTATACATTGTTATATTTCTTTTTTATTCTTATAGTAATACTACATAAATTGTTAAAAATGGGCGAAGAAATATGAAAAGCCTACGAGACGGTCTGAAACTGACTCCGGGGACAAAAAAAAAAAAAAACCACTGAAAATATAGTAGGCTCTCAGTGAGATATCTTGCAAATTCATTTGAAGCGGTGCATTGAATAGCACTAATTTTGAAGGCTTCGTCGCGTATTATTCAGTTTTGGAGGCACTTTTTCATTGCATATTTAAAAAATCGCAGAACCTTATAAGAGAGCCTAGGAATTCATATGGGTAATGCAGAGCATAGGAAATGGGAGGGAGTCATGTTAGATCAGAGAGAAGGGACAGTTCTTGTATCAAGAGCCCTACACCGGCATCAAGGCACCTCCCACGGAGGAGGATAATTCTTTGTATCAAGAGCCCATCACCGGCATTAAGGCACCTGCCAAGAAGGAGATAATTCCTTGTATCAAGAGCCCATCACCGGCATCAAGGCACCTCCCAGGAACTGAGGCAAAGCATTATACTGTGTTATGTGTACAGGAACAGCTGTGAAGAGAACTTTGTACTCCAGATGAGGTAAAACCATCTTTATCATAATTTCAAGTTTGCTACTAATGTACAGGTACAGATACGATGTAATTTATAGCATTTCATACATTGGTAAAATGTAATTCGTTACTCTATTGACTCTGGTACACTGTCATTTATGCATTATGATGTCATTATACTTCGGTGCAATACATGGATATTTTATCTATCATTAGTACTACTACTACTACTAATAATAATGCTACTACTACTACTAATAATGATAATAACAAAGGTTGATATCAGAACATAAGTCACAAGCCAAGAATTTGATTTTCACATCACGTCAACAGTACCAGTCAGAGATGTACACTGATACTCGATATCTTTCTCAAGGTTATATACACCGAGAGGTGTATATCTCTATAAATATTCTATGAGTTTACTTTAATCCTTCTTGTAGGCATTAAATCACGTTAAATAACTGGTTTACCTCTTCTGAACTGCATCAATATTTACTCGCTGGTGTATCTAAGGTCCAGGAGAGTATCCATTAAGTTTCGTGTGCCTTCTGGCAAATTTGTTGTAGTAAAATACTAAAAAAATACTCAGAATCTTTGGGATCCGTCCCATAACTGGAGAATGATTCCTCAGATAGGCTTCAATTTTTCATAACTGGTGTTGTCTCCTGAACACTGACACAAGTCCTAATCTGCCGAGTTTATTGAGTAAAATGCGATATTCATTTTTTTATTTAAGTACTAAGGAATACTTCTGATTGGCTTCAAACTATTACTGAACATGAAATATGCCCCTACGCATTTGAACTTCAATCACTGCTCTACTCGATTTTTTTTGTCAACTATTTTTTTAATGTTTGAAGCTCCGTCACTGAGGATTTTGGAAGTTATTCAAGCCATTCCATGATGCTGGGAATGGGATCAACATCTCCATCCATTTGTTCTAAGAATTTGGAGTCCATTACCGTACACAATTGTCGAAAATGCGAAGGTGATTGATGAGACGTTCTCAAATTATGGGCGAAATAGAAAAGTTGGAGGAAGAATAAAAAAAAAATTAGGCAATCTCTTAAAAGGTACTCTGAGAATACTAAATAAATGTTTGTATTACGTCTTTCCTGCACGAGAATTTGTAGTATATTCTGGTGACGGATGTGAGACTCAACCCACACTCTTGAGTGGTGTATCTACTGTATTGAATTAACACACTAGGCTGTCTGCATTGCCTTCTCTCATCCAGTTTCATGCAGTAATACTATATATTGCTACAAGAAAATCAACAACACTGCTATTAACTACCACTATTACTGCTACTGCTAGTACAACAACAACTGCTACTACTATTACTGCTACTACTACTACTGCTACTACTACTACTACTACTACTACTACTACTAATAATAATAATAATAATAATAATAATAATAATAATAACAATAATAATAATAATAATATTATTATTATTATTATTATTATTATTATTATTATTATTGTTATAGTAATTATTCTAAGATCATAAATTTCATCTTGTCATAAGTAAAATGATTTTATTTTTTTTACTACACCAAATTTAGGTCAAGAAATATATGAAGTAGTGGTTATCGTATCCCAATTCTCATACCTCTTCTTTCCATCAAAACATATTGCTTTTAAGCCATATATGTATCTTAATTTTAGAGGGGAAAATGGAAATTTCTTAGCGCTTTTAACACCTCGTATAAACGTCCAGATATTGCAATACTATATCATATTTGTATTTTACATGTTAAATCAAGCCACAAAGGGATGGAAATATTCCGTGTGGCTTGTTTTGCGTTGTTAAGATCTTTGCGATTGCATTGCATGTTAAGGCAAATAATGCCGTCTCAGGAGACGATATCGTGTCTATCTCACAGAGATATAGCTTCTCAGAATGGTGATATCGTTATACCTTGATATACCAACAGGAGGTGCGTGGGGTTTGGCAGTATCAATCTTCCTGGGCAGCATGATGGTGAGTGCATGAAATGTGGCGTTACAGGCTAACAAATATGAAGGGCAAGTTTAGTTGTAGAACTAACTTTTATTTGGGCAGCATTTCGTTGTATCGTGATAAAACTCTACAGGGAGCGAAGCGTTGTCATAATGAATGCTTGTTCTAGATACAAATGATTTTCTGCTTGTAATTGTGAAGAACAGTCACACGTTGCAGAACAACCTGCTTCTGGGACAATATGTCGCTTTGTATAGAGTTTTATTACGAGTTTATAAAGTTCTGCACGGAGTGAAACGTTGGTTAAAGTTTCTTGAGTTTACTGTAATGAAACATCACGGAAATTAATACCCATCAAAAATAAGGTTCTATCATTAAGTCTGCGAGATGTTGATCCCCAAATGAGGGAAGTGGACTTGAATGCATTTATGTGGGACACCAAAACTGAAGATGTTTCGGTACTTGGAACTTGATCACTTTAAATACATCCCTATTTAAGGTATTAAAGTATTCTTGACTGGTGATGAAAATGTTGCATGTAGGATTAGTGACCCTCATGTAGTCAATAGGCTACCATGGAACCAGTGCTGTTTGTTTATATTTCTGTATTTCAGTTAAACTTATGATATCAGACTTTTCGCTGGTGGGTTTAGAGCTTAGTTTTGACAATAATAATAATCAGACTTTTCAAATTGTGTGTACTCAGTTAACTAAATTCGTTTGAGCATAATTTGGGCGATAGCTTAGCAAAGTCCTGCATTTTACGTTTCAAACACTTCAATGTTCTGAACAAGTCAGATTACTTCTCATTATCCTATTTCTTTCTATTTTTATATTTGCTATTTTATTATGGCCTATGGCAGATAAAAAAAAAAGTCGTCCAGTTTTTATTTCTAAATTTATTTGTTGTAAAGACTGATATAAAGCACATTTAAGATGAAATTAATATAATATTGCGTACCAAAGATTGTAGCGACTCTGGTGTTGGCTCTTGTTGGCCTGAGTGCCGCTGATCTTCCCGTTGTCTGCTACTACGAAGATATTCGAGGCTCATGGAGCTTCTCTGAAACGGAACGGAGGGGCGACAACACTATCAACTGTGACACACTGGGTCCCATCGTCTACACCAAGAACTTCACCTTCACCTTCCCCAACACTGTTACTGACGAGCTGGGCAACCAAGGCACTTGGACCATGATCTCCAATCAAGGATTTGAGGTATCTATTGGTTATACTTTTTTTTTAGTTGAAAGTTGTACTGCTTACAGGACTGAATATAAAGGCACACGCTGAAGAACAATACGTTTTGCTCGATGAAGTTTTTCTCATACTGTCCTGAGAGCGAAACATCGTCCCAATAAAGTCTTGTTCTGCTAGATGTGGATAAACTTCTCTAGTCTAGTGAGAATATTGTGACTTAGTGGATCATTTTAATTGTGATCCACACACGCTGTGGAAAAAGCCAGTCATAATGAATGTGTTTTCCTCATCTGGCCACCCTACCTTGGTAGGAAACAATAGACGTATTATTAAAATAATTTGATCATATGGAATGTGTGGACTCAAACATCGAATGTGTTGCTTGTGGCTTGACACCCTTTGAAGCCTTTAAAGTACAGTTAATAAAGTAAAATGAGACCCAGTACTGTCGAAGAATTCTTTACTGGAGATTTTATTGCTGAGATAAACAACGCAGTCTTCATTAATATTTCATAGACACTTTAATGATGACAGTATTTTTCACTACAGTTTACTTCCAGATTATTTTCTATACAGTTAGATTCTATACAAGTATAATAATATCAGAGAATTTGGCTCACAGCCAGAAGGTTCTGGTTTCGATTTTATGGCAGGGCAAGACGTATGGGCATGTTTCATTTTTATCTTCTGCCTCTGTTTAGGAGTATGTAACACCTAAGTGTTAATCTCCCTTACACCTGCTACCCCTGTACACTAGTAATAAATATGTACCTAGATGTTAGTTTCCTGACACCTGCTGCCCCTATTCACTTAGCAGTAAATAGGTACATGTTTATTAGTCAGCTGTTGTGGGTGGCAGCCTGGGGGACATAGCATACCTTAGAAATTGCTAGGATTTGATATGCGCTGAGATAGGATAACATTTCATAGCCTATAAATGAGCTGAGGTAGGTAACACTTCTCAGCTTGCAAATTTAACATCAGCATCACTATGATCAGGTAAAAGTCATACTCCCCTAATAGCTTATGATTCGAGAATATGGGAGGGTACCTACAATTCTTTGGATCAAGAGCCCATCACCCATCCACAGGTGAACATCAATCAAAGGTCGTATTTCGCTTTTTCCTACTACGAGGGAGACTGGGATTCCTCGGTCTCCTACTGTGACCGAACACTCAACGGTTGGTCCAGGGACCGAACAGTTAGAAACTGGTCTTGTTTCAGCGCTGCCAAGTTAACACCAGTAAGTGAAGTGTCATTATTAGCGATGCAACGTCATTAGTTCAGTGTTTTTAAACAGAGAATACAGTGTCATTAGTTCATTGCCAACTGTTGAAGCCAGTATTGTGACTTGTATTATTGACTATTGCAGCATAATATCAGTGTCATGGCATCATGTTAATTGATATTATGGCTTTATGTTTGCTTTCTGGTGTAGGTAGCCCCACGAGCGTCCAGCCTAGGCACGTCAGTGTCAGCCGAGCAGCACTATCGCGTCGATCACCAACTCATTAGAAAGATCAACGCAGCACAGACTTCATGGACGGCTAAGGAATATCCCCAGTTTGAGAGGCAAGCTCTTATGATTATAGCATGCAATACCAATAAGTTTATAAATAAGACATATGCGCAACATTTTGGTGTCCTTATTTCCCTCTGTACTGGACTGAAGAAGACTGCTCCTCAGGCGAAACCTTCTGGTAAATAAATATACCCAAGTGTTGCATGTACGTGTTATTTATTAATCAGGAAAGCTGCTCACTGAAATTGCAATATGGTTCACAATACCCAGCACCTCGGAGAGGAAACTTTAAATACAGTTTCGGTCCTTCCTGGTCTTTTATCAAGTCACTTGATAATTGTTCATTAAGGACTGAAACGGCGCCTAAAGTTTCCAGGGTGCGAGTTATTTGTGAATTGTTCTAGCCACGTTATTGTGGCAATTTTTTAAAACAGTTTTTATATTTAAATAACTGCTTAGTATTTGTTTCTGTAGACGCTTGTGTAGCACATAGTCGTCTTCTGTTTCCGGAACCATGGTTGCCTCCGCACCTCTCACTGCCCTCGTAACATTTTTTGGTTCTCTCTACTTTTGTCAATTTAATATTGGTCAAGATCAGGCCGAAATGTTGTCCAACTTTGAGTTCCCGACTGTGGATTAGTTGTGAAGCTACCCAGCCAAGGCAACGTAATTTAAATCTGTAAAAAATAATTTGCGCAGATACACGCTCAAGGAGATGTTTTTGCGATCTGGGGGCGCCGAGCTCCTTTCTTCAGCTCCTGTCGCCCCTGTGCCATCGTCTGCCGAGCTGAAGGCCCGCGTATCCCTCCTGCCGGACACATTTGACTGGCGTGATGTGGATGGGATAAACTATGTGTCAGCAGTGAGGGATCAGGAGTCCTGTGGGTCCTGTTATAGCTTTGCTTCGGCTGCCATGCTAGAAGCCAGACTGAGGATCTCTACTCGCAATCAACGGAAGGATGTTTTCTCTGTCCAGGTAACTCTCCCATCACAGATAACTTTCACTTAGGAGAGGAAACTCGTGATGACGTTTGGGTCTATCATGGCCTATTGTCAAGTGACTTTCGACTTGATGAACGTTTAGGATGAACCGAAATGCTCAATAGTGTTCATTTTCATTTGATGAACTAGTTATGAATTCAAGATATAATTTCACACATGCAGCCAACCTTCCAAAGACGGCCAGTAAAGTGGTCATAATGATAAATGTCGTATGTGTTGCAGGATATCATGTCCTGCTCAAGCCTGTCACAGGGATGCGACGGTGGCTTCAAGTATTTAATGGCTGGTCGGTATGCACAAGACCAAGGTGTCGTGGCTGACGAGTGCAACCCCTACACCGCTGTGGTGAGTGAAAATCCTGTTACCGCAGGTATATACACCGAGAGGTGTATCTCTTTTAGGGTATATACACCGAGAGATGTATGTCTTTCAGGTATATGCACCTAGGGTATATACACCTAGAGGTGAGCCTTTTGATTTGCCTGCACATGAGAGAATTCTTATGAGTATTTAATGGAACGTCCCGAGACATGGAAAGCTAAAAAAAAAAAAATACAGAAACAGTTCTGATCTTTGTTTCTTGAGCATTCAACGCCTCGCTGTTTTCAAATGCCCATAAGAATGCTGTCACCGACAACTGTATAACTCTTAGTGCATATACACTGAGTTTAATACTTCGTCTCCCATCACAACCACCTAGATAAGCCTAGTTCATTCAACACTTCTCCTTCAGGATGGCCCTTGCCATACCAACACCTCCTGCAGCCGTACCTACGTCAGTGAATACTCCTTCGTGGGCGGATACTATGGTGGGGGCAACGAAGACATGATCATGGAGGCGCTGGTTAATAATGGGCCTGTCGCTGTCTCCTTCATGGTCTACGATGATTTCCATAGCTACGCTGGGGGGATCTATCATTACACCAACTTGCGCAGTGATTTTAATCCTTATTTGGTAAGAGAAAGTAATATTTATATATTTGTAATTTATATCTCCAGTATATAAGAACCTTTCCTAATATGTACTTATGCGTAACCTGATATATGTGGCGTATAGTGGCTTAAATGATTCTTTGATTTTCGAAGGCAGTGATTACGTTCGTCAGCATCGCACATATAACCGATGTTCTGTTGTTAATGTTTCGTGGTTTTTCTTAATGCCTAACGACCTCAAGGGACTTCAACTTTTCTTTCATCCTCTGGGTTATCTTACTCTTCAGTTTCTTTTCACAGTGTTCTTCACTCATGAGATTCCCCCTACCTTCATAAACTCCTCTAGACTTGTTAAATGTTCTCTCCTTCCACTTTTCTCTCCAGTCCTACATCTCCTAAATAATCAAAGATCAATGACCCTCGTGTAGTAGACAGGCTATTAATCAACCATTTAACTATACTATATAATGACATAAACCACTGATATATTACATTTTAAGCAATTAGTTTAAAAAAGCTGCTGTTTCTATATTCCTATAACCACAGCCGACCAACCACGCAGTGCTGATGGTGGGATACGGTGAGGAGGAGAGCACTGGGGAGAAGTACTGGACGGTGAAAAACTCCTGGGGGGCTGAGTGGGGAGAGGAAGGCTACTTCAGGATCAGACGAGGCACTAACGAATGTAACATCGGCTCCTTCCCAGTCGAGGCTACACCCATACCCTAATGAGGGACACCCCTAGTGACCAAGCCTTGAAGACCGAATAACACCTGTCACCTTTTTCTGTCAGACGACGGTCGAGAAAACGATTGGAAATTACAAATTCAAAATGGACAAAAGTGGAGGATACCTACTCCAAAAATAATACAAATTAAAATAAAATGGTTGGAACAAATCACAAAATTCCTGGACTGACAAAAAGAAAGACGACATTTCAGTCTGTCCTGGATCACTGTCAAGTCACAGGTCGCAAGTGTGGCTTGAGACTGGTCCAGGAAGGACCGAAACGTCGTCTAAACTGTCTTTTCGTAAATGTGGCTTTTGTGTGATTTACCCATAAACCTGAATCGACTTTCACTTTTGTTTCGAATACAATAATAATCAGAAACCTTAAAAATAAAACTGGCTCGGAGTCACTTCCACCCAGGACCGAAACGTCTTCAGTAATGTTGTTCCTAGAGTTTGTATTCATGTCGTGTCTTCTCAAGGCTGCATGTCACTTGTTCACCACCAGTCAACAACACTGTTCTTTAATAGCTAAAATAAAAATCAGAGTAAACTCTCAGCGTATATACACTGAAAGACATACACTTCCCGGTGTATATATATTGTGTATATTACTAGTAGACTTACGAAGTTTTAAATATGATCTCATCCTATACTTCAAAATTTTTAATAATGACCCTCGAGTAGTAACTAGGCTATAAATACCATTAACAAACCAAAAGAATTCACGTAAAACTAATAAAAATGTGTTATTAATAAAATATTTAGTAGATTATAAATTATTTTTTATGTACAGTTACTAGTGTATGTATATTTTCTGACTGGATATTTTACACCTATATATATGTATGAATATAATATAAACCTGCATCTGCATGAATATTGCGAAGGAATCTTATTGTTTGGAAACTGGTGTATGATTGATGTATGAATGTTGCTCCTTACCATGATGTATAAGAATACTCTGCAACAGGAATACATTCATGTATCAAATCGTTATTTTTTGTATATATTTTAAGTCATTGCGTTATGGGTATCACTGCGTTATTCGCTTCTGTTTAATTCTTACATACTTTTATCCTCCTATACTATTCAGTAAGGCAGTCTAGCCTCTGGCTGGATTTGTAGGTTAGAATTTGCAACAAAGCCTGTCATGTATGTGTCTGGTTAACCTCTAACATGAGGCAGGGTCTGATTATCTTCCACACATGCAAAGGCTTGGAATAAGGTCGTGAGTAGACTTGCAATAAACCTGGAGATGCCAGTCACCGGACCTGATTCTCCAAGCTGATAAGGTATCTGGATGGGGTGGGCTGAAGCCTGAATCTTGGTATCAATTTGACTATAATGATATGGTGGGGCGTAGTAATTTCTTTTTTCACCACGGTATTACTGTGTTTACACACACGTGGTTGTCATGTATGCCTCTACTGATGCTCTGGGCAATTGTAGCAAACCACTGTGGATGTCCCCATAGCATAACTATAATATATAGTGTAGTAGGAGGGGAAAATTATGGGGCCGAAGTTCACAGGTACATTCCTGAAATATTTCATCCTCATAATTTGACGGGGGGGGGGGGGCACAACTAAGCAACAACTTATTGTACTTACCAAAGTTAGTTGTACCTCAGAACTAGGTGGGATTTTAGAGACACTAGGCTGCACCATGTCTCTCCGAGACCCACACACTTTTTCCTACCAACAAAGTCGGGCCTATCAAATATTACAATATAAAATTAATACCAATAATAATGGTAAATTACAAGATATTGAGTGAACTGTATGATGGTTTGTGACTTGAATGGGGGGTTGGGATCAGTTGAGTAAGGGAGGTTTTGTGGGCGAGGGGCTTGGACTTCCAGCAGGCGTGCGTGAGCGTGTTCGATAGCAGTGAATGGTATTTGGGACCTGACGATCTGTTGGAGTGTGAGCAGGGTAATATTTAGTGAAAGGATTCATGGAAACCGGTTATTTTTATATAGCCGGACTTGAGTCCTGGAAATGGGAAGTACAATGCCTGCACTCTAAAGGAGGGGTTCGGGATATTAGCAGTTTGGAGGGATATGTTGTGTATCTTTATATGTATATGCTTCTAAACTGTTGTGTTCTGAGCACCTCTGCAAAAACATTGATTATGTGTGAGTGAGGTGAAAGTGTTGAATGATGACGAAAGCATTTTTCTTTTAGGGGATTTTCTTTTCATTTTGGGTCACCCTGCCTCGGTGGGAGACGGCAGACAATCTCTTGGAAGCAATTAAAGCAACAGGTACGAGGACACTCTCACATATTCCCAAAGCAGCCCGTCCACACGCAGCTGGGAAACTTACAGACCTCCTGAAAAAAAGTAAACGATGGTTCCACTATCTTAAATGCTCCACCAACCATCAAGGCATGGCACAACTTACTACTTTTTGGCAATGTCTGCTTAGCTGTGCCGGAAAGAAGGGGAAAGAGGCTAGCCTCAATGATAATTAAATCCTTAAGAGATTTTCCTAGAGCTGATAACCTCATTCGCCTTCCCCATCAACACAAAAAGGGAGAGGCAGAACCCCCACTCATCTACTGACAGTGAAAAAGTCAGAGTCCAAGTGAGCAAGAAAATTGAAGAGGGCAAACACAGTGGGGGCAATCGAATTATTCCCAGTGAAGATACAGTTGCTCCCAGGGATGCTGACACGGCTGAAGCACTTAGAGGAAAGCACCCTGCCAGGGAAACCAGTGCACCAACAGTTCCAAACCCTCTGTCCCCACTATGGAACCATTGATTGTGGAAGACTCAGACATTTACAAAGCAATAATGTCGTTCCATCTGGCTCTGCTGGGGGTTACCGGGAATAAGGCCACAGCATTTAAAGGAAATGGTTAATCCAGTTATTGGGGAAAATTGCAGAGACACTGCTTTCAGAGATCACAAGGTTCGTCAAAAAATTCCTTGGCTGGTCTGTTTCCCTGATGAAATTAGCCCTTTCTTTTTTGGTGCAACACTTTGTGCACTTAAAAAGAAGGATGGAGGAATTCGGCCAATTGCAGTAGAAATAACCGTTACGCCGCCTCTTTATCCAAAGCTGCTGTCGAAGCATTCGTGCACAAGGCAGCCATGATGTTTCAACCAACCAGCTTGGCTTTGGGGTCTCTAAAGGAAGTGAAGCGCGGTTCATGCAACAAGGGCGTATATCAACAACCTGCCTGAGGACAATGCAGTGGTAAAATTAGATTTCAAGAATGCGTTCAATCTCCTAAAAAGAGACGTGGGTATTAGCAGCAGTACAAGAACATTTCCCTGGTCTTTTCCCTTTTGTTTCAGCTGGGTATAGAAAGGGAATCAATGCTTCTCTTTGGGAGCATGAAAATCACATCATCGGAGGGTGTCCAACAAGGAGATCCTCTTGCACCATTCTCTTCTGTTATAGCAGTTAGGGAAATCAAAAGTCAGACTGACCAGCGAGTTTAAAACATCTGGTTCCCAGATGATGGCACACTAGCAGGTACAAAAGGAGTCCCTCATACATGCCTTACAAGGTAATGACACGGGGACAGGAAATGGGTCTCGTCCTGAAATCCATCCCAAATGTGAAATCATCTCAGTCAGTCAACAAAGTGATAAATGCGGGGAGATCAAATACCGGAGCAGCAGTCATTACCCCCACAATGTTCTTGCTAGGAGCACCCCTGGGAAAGCAATGCCATTGACACAATTTCGGAAGAAATTGGAAGAGTTAAGGAAAAGGAAAAAACGAATTGGCAAAACTGGTCACCCCACGATTGCCTTGTACCCCTTTTCACAAAGTGCCTGAGTCTGCCAGGTTGACTATTTCCTAAGATTGCACCTTCATATGATAACCCTATACTGCAAGAATATGACAGTATTCTGAGGCAGATTTTTACGAAGTACTTAACCTTACCCCTAGAAGATTGGCGTGGAACAGCTACACTTCCCTCAGATCAGGAGGCATTGGTGTCCGCAAGTATCAACAGATGCGTTACCTGCTTTTCTGTCCTCGTGTTTGCATCCAAAAGAGCTTGTAGCAGCGTTTCCCTGAACATTTAGGGACAGATTGGGTCAAAGGGCCAAAAATTCATTGACGAGCAATGATTGGATAATCTAACGGGTTTAAACCCGACCTGCTCCCCCAACAACTACAAACATCCATGGGTGGTCCAATGTGGAAGATATCCTCAAAATGCTTTAGATGTGTCGGGAAGGATAGAGCCCACTCCTGCAGTGAGAGCCCTCATGCTGGGGAATTTTGTTGTTTCCCACTCCAGCACTGGCACACGCCCCACCCACAGACCTCCCGCATCGGTGTTGCCTTCGACTTGCCGCCCCTATTCTGCCGAACACGTGTATTTGTGCAGTGAAGCGCAGACCAATTTTGGGTACCATGGTTTGTGTGCCCTAAATCCGAGGGAAAAAATTGCCCCAAAACCCTGAGGAGGTTATAACTTATCAAGAGGGGCCTACAAAAAGGATGCCCGCAGTAAGGAGCCACCCAACCCATGCAGATCTGATGGCAGCCTGAAGCGTCCAGAGGTTCACCCTTCAAGCCTGGACAGATGGAACAGTGGTTTTAGGAATTTTCAGTGCCCTTTCCTTGGCTGATACCTATTCCCAAAACCCAGGGAGAAGAGGGGCAGCTGCCGCTTCAGGGAGTCCCAAAAGTCTAGAAAATATGAGAACTTGCCCATATTATATGTTTGTTCCCATAGGCTCAGAGACCCTTGCGCTCATGGGGAAATGTGCATCTAAATCCTAAGGAGCTGGAAAAAAGACTCATCAGGTAACTAAGGATCCAAGGGCAGCTAGTTTTCTGTTCCAGCGGCTCAGTGCGCTGTTCAAAGGCGGTTAATGCCTGCTGTATTTGGCCACAAGTCCCACTCTGAGAGCTGGATGAGATTTCGCCTTAAATCGTGAACCACGTAACAACATGTACACTATATGCCACCTTTATTCACAATGTATCTCTTAAATCTTCTGTACCATATTATGTAATAAAATATTCCTATTGGTAAAAAAAATATATACTAAAAGATGGGGTGGGCACGACATATATATATGTCGTGCCGAATATGTAAAACTGGTCAATTAGCAAGAACTCATTTAAAATTAAGTCCTTTCTGAAATTTTCTCTTATACGTTTAAAGATGTATTTTTTTCATTAATGTTCATGTAAAATTTTTTAATTTTGCACCAAAAGAATCTTAGAAAACTTACCTAACCTTATTATAACAAGAGCAATTTATTTTAGCCTAATCCAACTAAATATATTTTAAATACGTTTACAATAATTTAATATTAAACAAACACAATCAAATGTATTTTTTTCGTTAGGTTCAGAATGATTTTGGCGAAATTATTGCATACACAAATTTTCACTTGTCCTATATGGCAAGATGAGCATTGCTATTTAAGCCAAGATCGCAAGTTCTGTCTATTCTGCACGATATATATATATATAATATATTTATATATATATATATATATATATATATATATATTTATATATATATATATATTTATATTATATATATTACATAATAGAAAGAAGGAAAATTTAACCTGAACACTCATCATTTGATTACTGGATCATAATTATTATTTTTTGGAAACACGCTAACGCTACCACTACAGCTAGAATTTACGATGGCCAACGCAAAACTACTGTACTTTATAGGTAAGCGTCACTTAGCTAAGGTATGCTACTGGAAGAATTTGTGTCCTCTATTTTTTCATCCCTGTTGCCGAATTGTAAGAGGTTTCCACACTATCCCAATTCTTCAGCGGGAACGTGTCAGCAATGTCTAAATTACTGATTAAGTCCGATGTACACCCATTAAACTTCGATAACGCCTGATTATTAGTTGAATTTTCCACGGCAACCAGTGCTCACAAAATACAATGGCGTCCTCCTCGGCGTCACTACCCCGGCTGCTCTACCTCCCCGTTCACTTAAAATTTCTCGAAGGGTCCAAATATCATCACATTTTAATAAGCAATTTTTATATTGTTCATTTATATGTTCTACATTTACGAAAATTATGTAAAATTTTTCACAATATATAGTGCAGTAACACACTGTTGGTGTCTGCACAATGTAACTATCGAATAGTGCAGCAATCCACTCTGGGTGTTCCTACGATGTAACTATCATATAGAATAGTGTAGCGACACAGTGTTCCCACAGTGTAACTATCTATTGTGTAACAGCACAGCGTATTAAAGGTTCTTCATCCAAGGAATTGAAGCCACCTTTCCCTTATCCACATCAAACCTTATTACCTCTCTTTCTCCACCACTCTTATGGGTTTAGCGATTCCCCACGAATAATAAAAAATACCTCTCATAATTTATTAGAAATGTTAAAATTTGTGCCCCAACTGTTTTTATCTGCAAAATATTCGAATTTTTTTTCCATGATTAATGTTCATATTTTCTCACTTTTCCTTTTATTTTACGATCTGTGCTATTCAAATCACAGTTTTAAATTATTGTAATTTGTTATAAATGAAGTGATAAGAATTAACACTCACTTCGGATAAACACTATATGGAGAAGACACTGTATGGATTGTTTGTGAAGTTCGGTTAGGTCAAATTTGTCAGAAAACATGACAATTGATTTCTGACGTGGGTGATTAGTCACGTGATGACCCACCACTTGAGCTTTTGGTCATCTGACCGACTCCTTCCACTGGTTTACCAGCTAAACCCCTTTAAAAATAAAATTTTGGTGGGGGTTCCGCTCAAGTACTGAGAATTTTTACATTTATGGGATTATTTGCTGAATAAATACTGGTATGACTCTGACACGGTTTGCAACGTTTGACGGCAAACGTTTCGCTCTATTTTATAGCTGCTTTAAATTTTAAAGGGTTTTAAACGAAACTTCTCACATAAAAAAAAAGCTGTTTTGCATCTATGTAGCACATAGTTCGGGGCGAGATATTCTCTGCGCTCCTGAAGGAGTTCATAGGATCGAACCCATATTTTGATTTCTTCATTATTTTGTATCCATCGACATGTCTTTTCATAATTACTGTAGGAGCAGTATATTCCTTTAGCCGAAAACATTAATTTACCAGAGGAACACAAGTGACCAGCTACCTGTCACTTGCAATGACACAATACACGAAGTATTCTTTGTTTAATGTAAATGCTACTAGTACTATGGGATGACTGTGGCTTGGGTGACCTCAGACTCTATGCCGCACTCATCAGTGCCTCTCCTGATCCTGAAGAAGCCCTCCTCGCCCCAGTCAGTGCCCCAGGAGTTCTTCACCGTCCAGAACTTCTCGCCAGTATCAGCGTCCACACCGTAACCTATCAGCAGCACCTCGTGGTTGGTGTTCTACGGGAAACAGACATAAAGGAATAAGATAATTCACGATACTTTAAGCTTTGAGAAACATTATTTTACAATATTTCAGCAACATTGGGGCTTTATCAAATAGTTGTTAAAGTTCTACTGTGGGTGATAAAGCCCCACTGCGGATGACGAGGCCCCACTGTGGGTGATAAAGCTCCACTGTGGGAGATAAAGCGCCACTGTGGATGTGTGGCAAAATAAAGAGTTCCACTGTTTTCCTCGTCTTAGGACCTTGGTAACCTAAGAAGAAATAAATAAGAGCAGATGACAGTCGTTGATGTCGTCCCTCAACTTGTGTATACTAAAATTTAATCAGTTTAAATTTAAAGTAATATGAGCAAGGTTATCCTAGAGGAGAACCCCAATCCCACAGTGCCAGAGAAGCCCATCACCTAAGTAATATTATACACAAAAAATAAAAATAGAAGTCAGAGGAATAGGGTAAGTGTTAGAAAAATCATAGAACTCTAATAGAAATACGTCCCACCTTCACTTTTTATGTTATTTAGGTTAAATCTGCTTAATGTATTCTTTATGTGCCTTCAGAACAAATTTTTTTTAGGTTGTAAATCATTAAATTATAACGTCAGGTCATGATCCTAACCTCCAAGGTTTTTACCATTCTTGAAGCCTGTTGGGTGATAAATGCCTTTTTCCGCTGAAACTTTCAATTTCGTCGTAGACCATAAAGGCCACTGACAGAGGTCTCCCTCCATAATGCATCCAGCATCAGTTCCTGTTGAAACCCGCCGAAGATTCTCCTACGTACTTTTTACCCGCTGCCGTGGGTGCTGAGCACGTCGTGTCAGTGATACAGGTCGTCCTGGAAATATCAGTATTTATTGACACCATAAAAATTGTATTTTTTCCCTTGAAATCAGTGGACTAGGCATCGAGCCTTCATAAAGTAATACGTGATTCATCCTGGAGACTGTAGATGTATTATATAAAGGTACATAATGATAGCACATTGAAGAATAACACGCAAGTGCAATACTTAGGTATTTTACTGCCTAAACGTTTGGTTTGTACAACGGATTGCTTTAGTCGAATACAGGAGAGGTAATCTTAAGGCTATCAGTCCCTTAGCCTTGAGAGAAGGCTGAAGGACTCATCATTTAGTGTTATATTCTTGTATATTCGACTGAAGAAACCTTTTGTGTGTGTGCCCATATGTATTAGTTTTTCGATACTGAGGTATAACTTTTTAGATACCCGAGTATCATATTCTTCGATACCTGAGAGTCAATATTCAGCATGAAGGCTTCTTACCTGGGCTGTGTACGGATTACACTCGTCAGCCACAACACCTTGCTCATGAGGGTGACGACCCCCTATCAAGTATCCAAAGCCTCCGTCACAGCCTTGAGCCAACTCCGAACACGAGATAATGTCCTGTAGGAGATAAAGAATGCATAGTAGCTAATTTATACCACATAGTGACGCCATGTGAAATATTGTGCTATGAGAGTGTACGATGCGGCCCCAAATGTGAAAACTCTAATAGCAGAACTATGAGAATAACTGGAACTACCAGAATAGATCATGGTGAGTTAGAACGCTACTGGACACCAGATACATTAATAACTTCATACTTGAATGGCTTATAACTTAGATGGTTCTTCAGTAAGATTATCATTCACCTGACTGGCCTTCCATCCCTTGAAGGATTGATTCTTCAGTGGGAGCTCCTTGATTACCTTCCCTTCCCGGGACACTACAGGACTATTGTGGGTTTAGTGCTTCCTCGTTTTAAAAAAGAAAATGACTGCCAACAATTAGATAGAAATGGACGCGAATGCATACCTTTGACACACCTTTACTGAGGACGTTTCGGTCCTGGGACTTTGTATTTAAAGTGATCAAAGTCCCAAGGTCGAAACGTCTTCAATAACTATGTCTTAAGTTTATGCCATCGTATCCTTATCCATTTAGTCTTTCGTGGATGTAATAAGAACAGTCACCTGTGTTGAGAAGACATCCTGTCGTTGGTTGCGAGTGGCGATCCTGAGCCTGGCCTCCAGCATGCCCATGGTGGCAAAGGCGTAGCAGGAACCACAGGACTCTTGGTCCCTCACGGGAGATACGTAGTTCACACCCTCCACGTCTCTCCAGTCGAAGTTCTCTGGCAGGAAGGAGGCCCGGACCTTCTGTTCAGGGGTGGCTGGCGCCGGCTGTGTTAGTATGGGCTTCCTGCGTCCACCAGCTCGTCTTTGCATCTGCTCCACGGTATACCTACGCGTTAAATCAAATATTATTTATATAACTAAAAGTTCAGCGGAACGCATGAATTCAGTAAAAGGAATGACCTCGTATATTTTATTAAATTATGTAGTTAACTGCTATTCAGTAAATTAAGAATCTCTACTTAAATCGGCCTCAGACCAACGCTGATGCATTTCATGAAGTGGATTAAATCAACTTGAGCTAGAAATGTCTTATGTTGGCGTTACATCGTTTTGAGATTCCAGACTCACCTCTCGTGCTGGGGGTAAGCCTTGGCTCTCCACGAGTTCTGGGAGGCGTTGATGTCCTCTATCATCTTGTGGTCATTCTTGAAGAGTCTCGTATTCATCTCTTTCTCCAAGTTTACGGTCTCTCGACGAAGTGTCTACAACAACGAAGAATATAATATAAATATATATTTTATATATATATATATATTATATATATTATATATATAATATAAATATATATTAAAAATTAGCCACAGTTAGGATAAAATGTTTTGCATGATTTCAAATATGCGTACTACGTTCAGGTACGTGGGAGTGGTTCCCTTTTTAAAAAATTAATATAAAGCAAGTAATGAGAATGCTATGCAAGTTAATTTAAAGAGGTTATTTTAACCGCGTAAGGGTTTGTTTCTGAGGTTTAAGCCTGTTACACACAAGGGGCGTTAAAACATGCAAACTGTCCACTAATAGCAAAATACTTTAATACTAAAATATCATTATATTACACACTGAGAGACATTACATCTGTGTATAATTCTGTGTACTTTCGCTGGTCTAAAAAAAAAAATATACTCAGAGTGAAACTAAAATTTTAAAATTTTAAAACACACCTACTGGGAGTGTCTAAATGAACTCATTTCAAAATTCGTTAAAAAGGAAAAAGGGTTTTTGAAAGTTGAGAGTAGGGGTTGTGTATTGTTTTTGTACGTGGCGTATGACCCTAATGGTTTAGCCCTTCTTTTTGTTATAAAATTTTTCAGTTTAACCGTTTGTGCCTTTTATTCTTCAGAAAAATCCGTTTTAAGACAAAACACAAGTTACGAACAAATTTTCATTTTACAATGTTTCTTCTGTGTAACTTTCAGTCGAGCTTTACTTTAAAAGAGCTTTACAAGTCGAGCTTTATTTTGCAAGTTTACCAAGTCGAGCTTTACAAGCAAGTTTTCCAGTCGACTTTACTAAGCGGCTTTACTCAAGTCGACTTTACTAAGCAGAGCTTTTACCAAGTCATAATCACGTCACTTCATGAGCTTTCACATAATTTCTTCCATTAAAGCTTTCTCTGTATGTACGTCTGTCATCGTCTTGTCTGCAATACAACATTGCGTCCGATTTCATAATAATGCACGTACAATGGGTATATTAATTACTCTCTGTCATGGCAGCCTTATTACACTCTTGTGTTTGTTACAATACCTTTCTTAACTTCTGCTCTGAACAGGACCATTTCTGAGTCTGTCCCTGGACAGCGTTCAAGGTCGGTCAACAGTAGACACTGGGGCTTGGAATTTCCCCTCGTATAAGAAAAACGAAGTTGACCTCTCTTAGTTCACCCGGTGAGTAATGTTACCATCGAATTAAAACTGAAATTTTGTAGCAGATTAAAAAATTCTTCAAGGAAATACGAATCATGAATCAGGTTATCAATATTGGATTAATATGAAGCTTTGAGTATTTTATTACATAAAAATGGGATTAATAATAACTAAACAACATTTGTAATGGAGCTAAACGAAATTTTTTTGACCATCCTACATTATTCTGTTTTTAGCTTAATTCTAACTGTTTTTTGCTGTTTATTTAATACAAAGTAAAAATATTTTTCCTAGCTTTAAGATTACTTAAAACAGGTTTCCTCAAAGTGTCAGTATGACTCCCAAGGGTCGATAAATGGGTGGAGGTCAAAGGAGGTCAGTATGTCTGGAAATGCTTGGCGTTGTTAACTTTACGTCCACATCCTTGTCTGTCACTCCCCTAACCAACATCAGACCTTGTTGACTTCATTAGATCATCCTCTCATTAATGATATCAACAGTTTCAGTAAACAAAGGGGTATATTAAATCTTATATTTTTATTATTTAAATATAAAAAGATAGTTAAGGTATTGTTAATATTGTCTACTTGTTATTATTCATACAAAGCACTATTTTTTTAATTATTTACATATAATTTAAATGTTGGGGGTCTAGATGAAGAGTTGGGGACCCGTGGGACTTCGAGAGTCTAGTTTCGAACTCACTTTTGCAGTATTTACCTCGAAGCCTTGGTTTTAGTTTTGTTCCAGGTTCCTGGTACCCAGCTCATCAGTAAAAGTGTTGGGGAAGTGAGGGTGAAGGTCTTGGGGTAAAGATGGAACCCAGTGGTCACATTGATTGGGGTTGGGCGCCATTTCGTTTCCGTCTCATGAAGTCAAGAACCCCGAATGTCCCTTTGAAGAGCAGTTTTGAAAAGGGGTATCTGCCGGGGTGCCACACACAAAACAATCTAAACACAACTCGTACTGGAAACAAGTGGAAATTCGAATTAAAACGTAAAGATAAAATTCACGAAACGTGAGCTGAAGCTATTTAGATGCTTACGCTATAATTAACCTTCGTTCCAATCAATTAGGTTGGAAAATTAATAAAGCATAATAACAGGGAATGGACATCAGGAGTATATTCTTATAAAGAACAAATGATTAGCTAATTCCGTCTGACCCACATTGTTATAGGTGTATACTTTATGAATAAATTAAAGTAATAATAATAATTATATTTAAAATATTAAAATTAACATGAATTAATTGGAAAGAGCAGTCTTTTACAGAGCTATTGAGAAATGAAATTCCTTTACAGTTCATAAAACCCCAAAAACTGGAAACAGTTCATAACTGGCAATAACCCTGTGACTAACTTTGCTAAAAATCAATTATGGGAGTAAACAGAATTTTTTTTGATAAGTTTCTGAAATTGGATTCCGTCAACGGAAACCTAGATAAAATTATCACAGCTAAGAAAAAGTCAGTCAAAAGAATATTTCACTTATACCATCGAAAAGTTTCACAATACTCATCGAAACCTACATCATGGCTCTCAGGTTTGAGACGACTCGTCACCTAGTTCTTGGACTGATACACTAACTGTGATGCTTCTGTATATATATAATCAGGGCTTACAACTTACATTTTTATAACCAGTTATATTTCTATATATATATATGAGCAACCATGTGTGAGTATTCTCAGCCGTAACACACGAGACTGACACTCCTAGCCCAGTATGATGGGTTTTTCCAAGATATGAATCTACTGTGGTACGAAGTGCAAAAAAAAAAAAAAAAAAAATGGGAACATGGCAGCTTCAAAAAATTTTTTTCTTTTAATTAGGGTAACTTTTTTCTACAAGTAAATATGACTTATAAAAAAAATCTCCATTGAGCGAAACATTGTGTATTGGTTTACTCTGCTGAAAGCGATTTTTTGATATCTTAATATTGAGGGTCTGAAGATTTAGACGTCTCATTAATGCTGAACAACTGATGAAACAGTTTTGTGAGCGAAACATTTTGGAAATCAAAGTATATCAGGTCATGCTTAGTAATACATTCACACGAGATAACAAGCAGGTGAAGAGATGTGGGTGACCCGCTACCTCACCAGCAGACACCTGCTGCCTCCCACATTCATGTTGCTGGTGGAGCATCACCAGGGAGGGAGTGGGATGAAGAGGGGATGAGTGGGGTGATAAAGGTAGGAGGAGCCACGGGGAAGAGCTTGGTGTTATAAGGAGGAGCAGGACAGTCAACCAGCATGAAATAGACATCATGTTGGTAAGTATTTTTTACTGTCGTTTACAGTGTCAGAGTTTGAGAGTTTGATTTAATGTTAATGAATGATACAGTTTTTTAGCACTTTTCTGGATGATGATAATATTATTATTATTAACACACTGGCTGATTCCTACCAAGGCAGGGTGGCCCGAAAAAGAAAAACTTTCACCATCATTCACTCCATCACTGTCTTGCCAGAAGGGTGCTTTACACTACAGTTTTTAAACTGCAACATTAACACCCCTCCTTCAGAGTGCAGGCACTGTACTTCCCATCTCCAGGACTCAAGTCCGGCCTGCTGGTTTCCCTGAACCCCTTCATAAATGTTACTTTGCTCACACTCCAACAGCACGTCAAGTATTAAAAACCATTTGTCTCCATTCACTCCTATCAAACACGCTCACGCATGTCTGCTGGAAGTCCAAGCTCCTCGCACACAAAACCTCCTTTACCCCCGGTGGCCTGGTGGCCTGGTGGCTAAAGCTCCCGCTTCACACACGGAGGGCCCGGGTTCGATTCCCGGCGGGTGGAAACATTCGACACGTTTCCTTACACCTGTTGTCCTGTTCACCTAGCAGCAAATAGGTACCTGGGTGTTAGTCGACTGGTGTGGGTCGCATCCTGGGGGACAAGATTAAGGACCCCAATGGAAATAAGTTAGACAGTCCTCGATGACGCACTGACTTTCTTGGGTTATCCTGGGTGGCTAACCCTCCGGGGTTAAAAATCCGAACGAAATCTTATCTTATCTTATCTCCCTCCAACCTTTCCTAGGCCGACCTCTAACCCCGCCTGATAATAATAATAATAATAACAACAATAATAATATTGAAAACTATTTTTAAAAGTATAAAACATAGTGGACTTAAAGGTAAAATATTAATGTACATGTTCTGTGTGAGAAAAGAGGAAAAAAATTCCTCATCTGAATCTGCGACTAGTTGTGTCCCACAAGCATCAGTACATGTCCATCGGCAGATGGACCTATGAAAGACGAAGTGAACCAGGGTGTCTTGAGGCAATTGTAGAAAGATATGTGTTTATGGAGGCAAAAAAAGGGGAATGTACCAGAGTATATGGTGCCAACATTTACATGGGTAATAGGTAGTAGGTTGGTAGACAGCAACCACCCAGGGAGGTACTACCGTCCTGCCAAGTGAGTATGAAACGGAAACCTGTAATTGTTTTACATGATGGTAGGATTGCTGGTGTCTTTTTTGTCTCATAAACACGCGGGATACCAGGTATATCTTACTACTTCTACTTTCACTTAGGTCACACTACACATGCATGTACACGCATGTATATACACAACCCTCTTGGTTTTCTTCTATTTTCTTAATAGTTCTTGTTCTTCTTTATTTCCTCTTATGTCCATGGGGAACTGGAACAGAATTCTTCCTCTGCAAGCCATGAGTGTCATAAGAGGTGACTAAAATGCCGGGAAAAAGGCTAATAACTCCGCCTGTATAAATTACTAAATTTAAAAATGATAACTTTCGTTTTTCTTTTTAGGTCACTATGCCTCGGTAGGATATGGCCGGTGTGTAAAAAATCATATGGGTACAAGGCAATGGTTTTAAAACCTGTAATGAAGAGGAGGCTGGAGGACATAGGGATGTCATGCTTGAGAACGTGTGGTGTGAATATTATGTAGAGAATTAGTAACCAAGAAATTAGAATACGGTGGGGGGGGGGGGTTATCGAAGGTATAATTCAAGGGACCGAAGATGGGTTGAGGTGGCTTGAGCACTTAGAAAGGATACAGAACAGGGATATAAGTTTTCCTTTTTTTTTCAAGTCAGGAATTGTGTTGTTGTGTTGCGTGGTGGCAGGCCTGGCAGATACACCCGCCAACTGCCTCTATGAAGACATTATTGGTTCGTGGACTGTCTTTGAGACAGAACGAACTGGTGACCACGCCATCAACTGTGATACTCTGGGTCCCATCATCCACATCAAGAACTTCACCCTCAGCTTTCCCAACACTGCTACTGATGAGTTTTGGGGAACCAGGAACATGGACCATGATCTACAACCAAGGCTTCGAAGTAAGTACTGCATCATTGAGTTCGAAAAGTAGAGAACTTAGACTATGGTCTACAATCAGGGCTTCAAGGAGAGTACTGTGTCATTTATAACAAACTGAAACAAAGACATTAAATATCAATGTCCTAAACATTTTGTCGTATGCGTGAGAGACCCAAGTGTAGCTAGGCTCATCATTACAGGTGAACATCAATGAGAGGTCGTACTTCGCCTTCTCAGCATTTGAAGGAGACTGGGACTCCTCAGTGTCTTACTGTGACCGCACCTCCAACGGCTGGTCCAGAGACAAGACCATCAGAAACTGGTCTTGTTTCAGTTCCCAGAAAAATGAAGAGGTAAGCTACTGAATATATTTAAAAAAATTTACCTTCTTTCCCATAAAATGTTGCTCATCTTAGATTCATCTTAGATGGGTACTATGATCGCCCATCTTAAATGGGCAGCCGTAGTGACTCAAGGAGTTCACACATTATTGTATTCCATTAATATTATATCTTTATATCGCATATAAAACCTCTCTAGAACTTGTAACATTTAGTAACACTCGCTGTGCTTTGACCTAAATTGTAACTCATCACTGTAGACAAATATCGTGAAATAAAAGTCTTTACTGCTTAAAGTCTTTCGCACAGGACGCCGAGAGGTATTTCACAAAATATATATTTTGAGAATTTGCTTGACTAACCATTTTTATGAATTGAAGTATTCTTGGCTAGCGGTGAATAGGTGACATGACCCTCGTTTATAGGCTATAAACCCAATTAACCAAGTGTTTTTGAATAATATTTCCAGGTGGTCCCCAGGAAAACAAGGAAACTGACATTACCTCAGTCAGAGCTGAGCAAGCAGTACAGGAACGACCATGAGATGATCAAGAAGATTAACTCAGCTCAGAGCTCCTGGACAGCTAAGGCTTATCCACAACACGAGAAGTTAGTACCAGATCACTATAATATCGTGATTTGTGCGGATAATTCCTGAGTTAGAACACAAAAATGTTTGAGTCTCGAGAATCTGTTAATAAAATGTGTGACAGCGCTAATTCCAAGTAATCTCAGGTGAATTTATTATTATTGTTAAACCATATGTAAGCTCGAACCTTAATTTGCTGAACGTTAGACGCTACTCTTGCCCTAACCTCATATGCACCGCCCTGTGTAGGTACACCCAGCTGGAGATGATTCAGCGCCTGGGTGGACCTGGCTCAGTGTTGACGCAGCGACCAACGCCTGCTCCAGCTACTCCAGAGCAGAAGGCCCGAGCCGCCCTTCTGCCGGAGAACTTCGACTGGAGGGACGTGGACGGTGAGAACTACGTGGCAGCGGTCAGAGACCAGGGCGGTTGCGGGTCCTGTTACACCTTCGGTTCTATGGGACAGGTGGAGGCCCGACTGAGAATAGCCACACGCAACCAGCGCCAGGATGTCTTCTCTACACAGGTACGGGATTATTTTTATTCCTTCCCGGCTGGAGACTTTATCTCCGGGCCTGGGTGATCAGAGACGTGACTCCCACCGCTAAGCTATCTTACAAGATATAAAATGTTTGTAACACGATTGACTTGATCCTCCGAAACTCTACACAGAAATGTCATGACCCATTGTAAATATTCCAAGTAACTACATTTGTGTCTTATTACCATGGGTAAATAAACGTAGAATTAATTAGTTTTGTCAAAATCAGCGAGTATTAAAAAAAAGTGGTTCCCTATGACGCATTTGTAACTATCGCATCTACTACCTTCCGGACAACTTTGTAATTAGCACAACTATTTCTTCTACCCCCAGGACGCCTATGTTACTATACTCCATTCAGTTCACACCTGTAAATATCATAACTATCTTTAC